CCTTTGTATGAGGAGGAGGAGGTGGAGGAGGAGGAGGAGACGGGACACAGAGGTGAACAAAAGGACAGCAGCTATTACACTGGGCTTCCTGTGACACGCAACCTGCAAAGAGGGATTGGCGGAAATAGAATGTAAAGGTTTAGGGGACATTTCTTGCAGCCACAGACTCCATGTCCAGGTGTAATGGGACTAACGTTAGGAACAAGGCAACAAAAATATACATACATATACAGACGGAAATATAGACATAATCCCCTTTATTCAAGTGCATCTGCCTCATGTCCATATAAAGAAAGAGCAATAACTGCTGGACAAATTAAGGTACATTAACTTCTTGTAATTGTTAATATTAAATGTTAACCAGTGTTTAGTTTATATCTACAGCGCAAGCTTAAGAAATAAGGAAGGCCAATACAAGTGATGCATGTTTCTCACCAGGCTGTACCACAGTGAGGCGCCAGCTTTAATTTGTAACCTCTATTATTGACGAATTTAACATTGTAATAGCAGAAAACTTTCCCTAAACTCACAGTTCCCATGAAGACGCTGCATGACATCAGAAATGAAACCGCATGCTTCTGTGTGCCTCGGTTGTACTTAATACCAGTAGGCTGAAGTGGGCTGAAATCGTTCCCTTTCTATCTCAAGTCGCTGGACTTGATTTTGAACTTGTCGTCTCATTATACTGTAGATGTGCTGTTGAAAAAGAGATTACTGGCTTTTGTTTGCACCGCGGACATATCTCACTACGTTGTTAGATTACGATACGTTTTTGTTTTAGTAGGTCAGCTGCCATTTTCAATATTCAGTTATGTCATTCAAGGAATTTATCTACATCATTTCATTTTGTTCCACATCGCTAACATACCCGCATTTTGTGTTCCCATCTCCTTGTTACAACATGTATGAGAGATTATGTTTGGAAGCAATTTTGGTTTATTTGCACAGATGACAGTTATGGAATATTGTCTTTCTTCTCGGAGCTTGGAGGGGGGAAAAAAGAGTAACAACTTAAGTGAATCAATTCAACCACTGAAATAAAGAATACAGGAGTAAAGTATCGCCTCTCAGAGCGGAAACGTGCAGTGAGAGGTCATCCTTGGCATTTCAGATGAGGACAGTTCATAAAGAGACCATCAGAACAACTGAGATTGAACGCTGGCACACGTATTTAAAACTGAACCATTCAGCTGGTGAATGGAAAATATTGAATTCTGGAAGTGAAAAACCTTTTAGATCTCTCTTTCAGAGCAGATATTTGAACTAGTCCTAATGCTAATGTTACCACATTATGATGGCTCTGCTCTATTCAAGTGCTAAGAAATACTCTGTTTCCCACTGCAATGTTGTGGAGCAGAAGAAGCTGCTACTTTCCACCACTGGCTTTTACTACTTTGTTGTGTCAAAATGCGTTCTTTAAAAAGAGCTTATTCGGAATTCATCCTATCCACAGTGATGGATGGGCTGAGCCAGTAGAAGAACCATAAGCGAAGGAGGATTTTGACAGGTTGTCATATATATGTATATATTTTATTTTTTTGTCCATGCTGTCATTATTACAAGCAACAACCCTCAATCTATAGATCATGTGATAAATCCTTCTAAATCTGTAGTGCTGCAAGCGCTGCTTCTTTATTTAATCTGACAGTGGGGACATGTTGACACTATTCAGAATTTAGGTCAGTACTTGAATAGGGGGCCGTGTGCTGCAATTTAGCAGTGAATATTCATGTGCTTGTCATGTATTAAGATGCACTCTAAGTCTATTAACCACTTGTTGCTGAGTATTAAACCCCCCAAACATGTATGAGCAACTGAAGTCCCCATTAAACCTTTGATTAAAAGCGTTGACAAATCGTCTTTGCCATGAGAACATAAAAGGATACAACAAAGTGACTTTATCTGTAAGTGACAGTAAGGCTATTGTTCTGCCTTCCCAGTGCAAGTAATACGTGCTATTACAGGGCTCGTAGAAAGATCTGTAGGGGGAGGGAAAATAACATTCTTGTGTTGAGAATCTCGATGGCTATAAGTACCCAGCAATTTAACTTGCATTACGCCCATAGTGTCATTACATCCCACTTGAGTCCTCTTCCTGACAAGTAGAGATAATGATAAAGATGAACACAAATAAGATAAAGGCAGAAGACGGTAACAGGCAGGTGTGAGATGATGTGTATGTTTCTATTTTGTGGATCTGATTCTTTAATTACCACCATCTGTTGCCAGACTAAAAGAAATGCCGGAGAGGAAGAGAGGGAGCAAATCGTTGCGTTCTGTCTTGGCAAATCAAGATACAATAAGTACTTTAACAGTAGGCATGCCCTTTGTTTTTTACAAGGTGACGGTCATTGACATCTCTCAGGCGTTCATCTTATTATGAGCTCTTTTCAGGCTGGAATGATATTTGGAAAATATCTGCACCATAAAAGAAACAAAGATCTTTATAAAAGACTGATTTTACTTGCCCTGAGGACTTTATTAAACAATTATGTTGTTGTGTTCTTCAGTTCATTTTCCTCTAGTTTTATCTCCAATTTAGTTTTGATTTGTTGAACGCTGAGTGATTAACATTAACCCCTGAGGGACAGATGGGGGCTCAAGCCATATTTGTAAAAGATGAGATTTGACCCCTTTGTTGTTTTAAACAGTATAGTCAGCGATAACGTTACCTTTTTTGCGCTCAATGTCATGACTGGTGCTGCTGCCGAAAAATATATTATAAATCATACATTTAATTTGCCGCCAAAACACCAGGTCCTATTTTCAGTCCATCAAATCCAGAGTGTTGTGTGGCAGTAAATGAAGTAGTAGGCAGAGCAAGTTGTGTCCGAGGTGTAATTATAGCAGATTACGGCGACGCAGAGGAGAAGGCCGGGCGGCGCGTTTGTCTTCACCTAACGAGCGGTGTCTGGGAGAGCTGAATTAGCTGCCTTGCTGGTGACTCTCCCCCGCCATGCCACTTTGTCACAAGGACACTCCTCCTGCAAGATGAGACAGGGTCAAGTGCATGTGCGTCCCCCGGCATCATTCTTACCGGCCGGTGGGGTCCCTTGTTCTGATGCTGGGGATTGGGGCACTTTAGCAACCGCTGAGCCACACCACTCTGCCTCCGCATCATTAAACCAAGCTAAAAATACACAGCCCACCCATGAGCCGCTGTTCACAGAGCCCAGGTTCATTGGCAAATTTTTCACCCCCTCTTAAAATTTGAGCGGGGTTATGAGGCTACGGCAGTAAAGCAACCGAATGGTCAACATGATTTCATGAGTGGCCCCTGTCAGTTACCCAATAATTTGTTTGATCTGTATTGATACCACTCATACCATACTCATACTCAAATCACAGCCATGTGTTCATATTGTTATTGCCCTTCCCATGAGTATTGATGGACACAGAAATCAATATGTGTTGGTGTGAAGCCGGTGTGACATCTGCTACAAAACTGATGGTAAAGCCTACGCAGTACACAGCAGAACCATTTATAGCTGAGACTGATAACTGGTATTAGTATCAGTTAATCTAACAATATCTTTACAGTTATTCTTAAATTTATTAAAAGTCGAGAAATAGGGAAAAATGGTCATCACCATTTTCAAGACGTCTTTGGATGGCTTCTTTTGTTTATGAATAATATCATAGTACCAAAACTGTTATCAACGTGCATTGTATTAAGTAATCGGTCCATCCACTTACAGTTTAATGCAAGTGCGCCGCTCAAAAATTGCATGTATGTATTTGCATAATAACAGCCAGCCGACTGACAACTCAGTATATGTGGCTGTGTGAATCTAAAACTCTCCTTTGTACCAGTGGCCAAATGAAATCCTTAAACCAAGCTGCAGAGCTCGGCGGTACAGAGTGTGGACGTAGTTGATCCTGGCAAACGATTTTATGCCTTTTTAATAACTACCTGCTTACGTAATAATGGTTCGCTCCCAAGGGCAACACCTTATCAATACAATAAATCATGCTGCACTCCGCTACAGAACCCCTACTATACACTTATTTGTTGGTTCAAATGTAAAGGATTATTCAAATCAATCACTGTAACCACGTGGCAAGGAGCGCTCTAGTAGGCTGCTGCTGTGACGCACTGTACGGCCGCAGCGCATTGGACAATGCAGACACGTGACACGCCGGACCGCACGGGGGCAAGTGATTTAACGCCTAATTAACACGGATAGCGCGAAAAGGACCCAAACACGGAGACCCATCGTTCCGAGGTATTGTTATAACGGTGTTTTCACGGGCACTGAGCGCGCGTGTGCCGTGTTTATTTAGTGGTTTGAAATGACATTCCAAGTTCAGAAGTTGTTGCCGGTATTGGAGGCGGAGATGCGTCAGAAATGAGCCAGATGATAATCACACACCTTAGCTAGCGCGTTACAGCCTGAAGGCACGTGTCGCAATGGGAGACATGGACACCAGGCTGTGGTGGTGCACGGAATCACTGTGACATGTAAATTACGGGTGTGGGTTTTATTTTCTCACCTGTTGTAATGTAATTATCATGTAATTATTCAATAGTTCAGTTCAGCATTGATCCAACAGCTTAGTAGGTGCTAGCATACTTTCTAAATGAACTTGGCTAACGTTAATAAATGCGTGTTGTCTAGACAGCTTTTCTGAGACAGCTGAGGTTCATTTGATAGAGAAGAGTTATTTTTTTCCCTGTATTTTTGTCACGCACACAAAGTTATCACTTCATTCTTGCACACCTAACGTTACTTGTATTCACAATGGTTGTTTTTTGGCCATATTATTTGCGGGAAAATGCTCGTGAAATGTAAAGCGAGGTAATAAAAAAAAGAGGTGCTCGGTGTCTTGCGCCGAGTCCCCGTCTTCCCTCGGAGCAGCCGGAGTGTCCAGACGCAGCACTACTTGCGCCGAGGAGGAAGCGCGCAGCCTGTAAAGCGGCACTGCGGCATCGCCGTATCACTGCGCCCCGGCCCCCCTTCTCCGGGATCCTCAAGCTCGGATCTGGGGAGAAGAGGAGGAGGAGGAGGAGGAGGAGGAGGAGAAGGAGATACCCTTTGGTTTTCCTTTTGCGGGATTTATTTTGCCAGCTCCAAACCTTCTTGTGCATTATCTGTTGAATAGTGACCGAGGGCCAGCAACTTCTCCGGACGGTCCCTCCCAACTCGCAAGGGTTTGCATTTCTTCGTTTTGTATGACGTGTCTTGGAGCCCCCCAAAAAGGGAGAGAGAGGCTTGCTTTTGTTGTGTGTTAGAGTGGGAAATGAAGCTTTGAGAGCCGGAGCAGGAGGCAGTGGCAGTCCGCTGCTGCTGCTGGGGGCTGGACTGGATTACAGAGCCGGAGATCTCTGCTGACAGCCGGGCAGACAAAAAGAGAGTCTGAGCGAAGACCAGGGGAAGAGTATTTCACTGAGCTGCACAAGCCAGGGCGAGTGCTACAACAGTGCCCCCCCCCCCCCTAAAAAAAGCGATATTTTGGGAGCAGTAGTGTGTGTTTGTTTGTGTGTGTGTGGGTCTTTAAATGAGTGCTGGCACAGGGCATCAGGTTGAACGCATAGCTGTACAGGGAGAAAATATGTCAGACCGTTATTATAGGAGAGGAGGTTTTACCCTCTTATTGTTTTGAAGGCAGAACATTTACATGCAAGGAATATTCTGATGGATAGTTATATTTATATGATGGCATGCTGGCTTGTTGGATTTTCCTTTTGTTGTGTACCCGTTTAATTTCAACCCTTTGGTAAATTGTTATAATTTTGGCTGTGTAAAACATCTGTGACTTTAGTATGTACATGCATGTTGCATGTTGCAGAATCCAAATGAGCTGTATCACATGGCAGCCTGTGTCCAAGGAGACAATGTAAAGTTGAAAATGGTGGTTGACTGTGGCAGGTTTGCTTTTTAGTTTGTGTGGCAATGCAGGAAAGGTGTGATTCCTCTGTTTGAAATGTTCAGTTTCAGTTCAGATTCTGTTTTCATCCTTCTGGAATACCATTTCTATGATGTAATGGGCGAGAATTGATATTCTGGACACACAGGCCATATGTTTTCTTTGACTACAATGCCGGAGCGTCTCCCAGTGGCTTTAGGCCCTAGACAGTGTAGACTCTTCCTGGAGAACAATCCAGAATAAGACCGCAAGCTGTTGAATGTTGCATCCTGGTATCATTAAGCAGCCAAATGCCTTCAGTGTCAGACAGTGGAGGTATGCCATGCTAAGATCTAGATTATTATTAAAATGATTTTGTTTTGCTCTGTGTAAAACCCCAAGGACATTGGTTTAAAATAAGACCTGCTCTTATTCCAGAAAGATATATTTAGCTGTTTTTGATTTGTGGAATGTGCGACTGAGGTGTTGAGACGGTATATTTGGGGAATTGAGACGGTTGGCGCAATTCATTTGATCATTTAAAGTGATTTTTGGAGGAATGTCTGTGTCAGAAATTGTATTATTCAAGAATAACTTTTGAATAATGTATCTTCTAGTTAATGGATCGCGTACTGTAGTATATATGGGTTAGAGATTTTAAAGTTATACGGCCTTGACTTTTACAAATAAGATGCAAGAAATATCATTTCATTTCTGATGTCATTGTAAAATATGTATTTGAAGGCCACTGAAATATGCTCCACAATTATACAGGTTTACAATAAATAAGTATTAGTATTAGTGGAATGATCTATTGAGTTGGTTGTTAAAAATACATAATTTGATTTAATTAAGACTATTTTATTTTCTTGAACAATCCATTTAATTATTGCCGAAGGACCAGTGTACTTTACGTTACTGATTACACTTAATATTTGTACAGCTGGATACTAAATAATTAGCAGTGATGTTGCCAAAACCAGCACGTTCAGGGTCATGTATCCAAGAAGAAAAGGGAAAAATCTGTCACATAATTAATCAATGTAATTCCCTTATTCAAAATACAGTTTAGGCTAAAAGCTTTGCCAAAGCTCCAGAGACATGAGTAAAAGCACTCGCAACACATAATCATCTCATCTCAGGACTAATAACCGGCAGGGGAAGAAAACCCGGCCTTCTGCATAGCACACCACACCTTTTGGAAAATGGCTTATTGACTAAATGTACAGTTCTTTCAAATTGAACACGTGGCAAACCTCTCTCTCCCCCTCTCTCTCTGTCTCATACCTTTATCTCGCAGGAGGGGGAGTTAGCTGACCTTGGGTGAGACAAGTAGGTTCCTGGAGAAGAAAGATGTGGCGTCACCTGCTCGACTCACCATGGCGGGACATGTTCACTGAGCAGATATTTGCCTTCACTTGAAAAGCTCTTCCTCTGGCGGAGTGGACAGCTTGGTGATAACGTGTTTTAATAGATCGCTTTACACCTCTTTCGTAGGATTGGATGGAACAGCCTTTGGGGATCTTTGCTTTGGACCGAGCTTGATTCAGTGACTTGATGCCGTTTTTTGAGTTTCCTGTAAAAGGTGTCATCTGTGGGATATTACATGATTACCTTGGATCTGGTACATCAATAACATTGGCTCGGATATTTCTCGGAGTTGAGCTCAAGCGGTTCCAGTTTCGGCTCTTAAGAGTTTAGATTCTCTCCAAGAGGTGTGTTTATCTGGATATTCGCCATGAAGAGCATTAATGGCCCTCGATTTAGTGGCCTCCGCAAGAAGAGGAAGTCCAGGTCAGTGAGGGACCGGGACAGGAGATCTAATGGGATAAGGAGCAACCATGTCAAGGGCTCCGTCTTTCGCTTCTCCTCTGACTCAGAGCGGGAGGGCGACAGGGAGCCCCCCTCTTCCCGCCATCGCCCCCCGCGAAGAAAGCGAAAGGAGTCGTCTTCCGCCGAAGAGGACATCATCGACGGCTTCTCCATCACAGGTTTCGTGACCCTGGAGGCTCTTGAGGTGAGAAAACTAGGGAAAACCCCTCCAACTCTGTGCATATTTGGCTGTTGTGTGAGCGGGAGTTTAACAGATGTAGCTTTAAATGCAGCGCTTGAGTCACAGATTACTATCTGAGAGGCTGTTGTTGTGTGTACAGCTCTGGAATTGTTTTCAACAAGAGTTTTCCTGCAAAGCCCTGCACCAGATGAGGGACGTTCAGCTATGGTTGTGGTGGCTGTTGTGCCTTTGTATGCTTCAGAGTAAAAGCAATTTGATCTGTGTTACAACAGTTTATTCAGAGTGGGAATCATTTTATGTGAACTGGCTAGCCGTTTTCCTGGAACGGCGGACTGGGCAGAGGCTGCCTTCCACCGATATGGGTCTGAATTATGACTTACAAAAGCAATCATTTTATATGGCACAACTGCCATTTTCCTCACTTTTAGAAACATCATTTGGTGTTCCCCTCGTGGATAATGGCATCTAACACATCTGTTCAAACTCTACTGAGGCATTTCATTCACATTAGCTTCTTACTCTTTGTGTACTCCTCTAACCATTCATTGCATTAGTGTGCACTCCTCCTTATGTTAAGTCGGCGCCTGTCGGCCTCTTACAGTTTTGTTAATTTGACAGGAAGTATTAATAACTGTTACTTTTGCATCAAATAGTTCAAGCTTTCATGGCTTCTGGTTTTCTCTGATCTTGTTTCAGCCAGATGTGAAAATATATTTCATCTTCACAAGGTCAGACTCTGGAGTGTCCTGTGTTACACAGTCTGGCTTGCATTGTGTAATGTATTCAGTGTGATGCCATCTCATGCTGGCTGCTGTGACCCTTCACACGGACGAGTACAGTAGCACTTGTCCTCACTACGTGAGATCAACCGTCCTATACAACCGCACTGTTCTTCCCAGTTTTGACCCTGATTTGACCCTTAATGCTTTTAGTTTAACGTCTAGTTGGACAACAACGTAGAAATCAAGTGACTGGCTTGTTTTAATACATAGATGCATTGCATTTTCATCACATTCATTGTCTTGCTAGCAATGTCGCCATCTTGCCACTGACCTTTCACTCTCTTAATCATAATCTGTACAACTATTGCACAGATTGCCAAAATTGCAAAATATAAAAGCTAACCCCACTTGCTGTCAGTTTGATTCTGAAGATATTCAGTGCTTCTGTTCTGTCCTTCAAAACATACATTAGATCAGTGGTTCTCAACTGGTCTGGCTCCGGGACCCACCATCACCCCTCAATGACAAGTCGCGACCCAAATCGAGGAACATTCTCAACTTCTCAAATTTATTTAATGAAAATATGGTGCAGATTGAACCTGAGATAGTATGGAGACAGAATACGTATGCCAACACAAAAACAAGTTTAATGAAAAAACAAAACAGCCAGCTGGTAGCGATGCTAGAGAGGGAACTATTCCCTTTTACACTAAATTAGCTAAAAAACCCAAAGTGTATCTTAAGGACACAAGGTATTACAACATACATAACAATTAAGAATCTTCAGCCATTTCAAACAAACTCATCAGCTTTCATGCACAAACAAAAAAGTCAAAAAAAGACACAAATGACCTAACTTTATCAGATCTATGACAAACACTATGTCTTGAGGAGCAGCTTTTGCACAAATTCAAAATAAATTAAATAAAAAGTGCAATTCAAAAGGATTCAGATATACAAAATGAACGTTTCTTGTGATTACCTCATCAGGAGGTAAATCCTGAAAAACATTGTGCTTTACAGAAAATTAAGCAGCACTCACTTCAACCGGAGGTGAAAACTGACAGACGTGAGTCTGGAGGAATTTCTAAAGGGAGAACTGGGGATGTTTTTTGCTCTTGGCAAGAGTCTCAAAGTCTGGAGTTACAGTTGACAAGGCCAGTCTGAGGTCATGCTCAATGTCCAGTCTATTCCTGTGTTTAGTCTTCAGCTGAACCAGAGCTGAGAAGCCACACTCACAGAGATAGGTAGTGCTGAAGGGTAGCAGGACTTTTACTGCTCGAGTGGCAAGGGAAGGATACTCGCTGATCACGCTGCTGCACCACAATTGGGAGAGGCTTACCTCCGCGAAAATCTGTTGGAGCTCCGCGTCCCTGCTGCCTTGTGCCTGCTCCAGAATGTTTCATTTGGCTCCAAGGACCAAACTCTCCCCTTTGGTGCAATAGTCTGACGATTAGTGTCAGAAAACAATCCCAGTTACCAAAGTCCAAGGTGACATCTTCATATGTCCCTTTTTCTCCAATGAGCATTGGAATACGCAAAGATACTAACTGCATGAATATATGTATATATAGAGCAAAGAAAAACAGCAAATCCTCACTTGAAAGAATATGGAATGAGAGCATTTGAGAATTTACCTTTTATGTATTGTGTCAAAGACATTTTATGACGATTGGGCAGGCTTCTCATTTGGTTTGAGAGAAAGAGATGAATAAGAATGAGATCCTGTGCTAGTAGCTGCCTCTGAAGTGGCGCTGAGCAAGCCACTCGACCCTTTCCCCCACTTACTTTCATTCATTATAGCTATTCACAGACCAGTGGTAAACATATTTTCCTTTGCACCTCTCACAGTGACGGTTAAAGTCTAGAGTGAGGGTTAATTATCAAATGTTAAACTGTATTTTGAGCTTGAAATGTTGCTCTTGTACATCAGTACATTATTAATACATCTATAAAACATCTATAATTATAACGCAACCAAGGCTAGTGCAGAAGACTGAGCTCCTGTATATGTCTGAGGCCTTTTGATCTTCTTTAATTGAAAAGTAATTACACAGGTATCCTATAACTGACTGCTCACTGCCGTTTCCTTTTTCTTTTCTTTTTTTTTCGAGTTTTGTGCACAGAATTTCCCCAAACCAAAACCGATAATGGAGCAACAAATTACAAAGATGGGTTGAGGGGTGTTCCTTCATTGAGATCGAGTAGCAGCTGTCCTTCTCAAAGGAGTTGTTTTGGAGGCAGCATTTTATTGAGTGCGGCCCAAGCAGCAACCATGAAAGAATTACTAAATAATTTAGTGCCTTCCCGTCTAAAGCCTTTGCTGTGTTTCAATCATTTCACTTGACAGGTGCTCAAAAAACCTCAACATGTCCCTACTGACCACAATTGATTCGTAATGGTCCCGAAGTTGACCCACGTGCTTATAATTTCCTAGTAAATAGTTTTCTGAAGTAGAGTACACACTCGTACTGATTAATCCTCCTTAATTAATCCATCTTATACGTATTAAAGGCTTGATAAGGCTCCTGTCCAATTGCACACTTTTCTTTTTTGACCTTCACTGCTGCTCATCATTGTGCTGAAAGGCCTCATCTTCTTGCTCAGTGGGTTAACAGCAGTCTATTACATGATTGACTGCCCGTGATAACACGATGAAGGGCACAAAAGCAGCACTGTGTAAATTAGTACAATTGCAGTGTCTGTTCTACTCTGATTTAGCATTTAATTCACAATACCCCACAGAGATTCTACATTGAATCTGTTATAGAGGATAAAAAAAGAAAGACAACGGATCCACCTAATGCACAAATCTACGTCAGATTTCAAAAACCTTAAAACCCTCAAACAGACACAGCTCCTCTTTTGGGCATTAGTTGTATCGGTGCATCTTTGGTCTCTCGTTCTTCCTCCTGCATCACTTTTTTCTGTTTTTAATTCTTGTTGTGATAGCGGGTGAGCTGTACCCAGCATGCCGTTATGATTTTATAAATGTTTAATTATTGGTGCTACAAATTGTTTGTGTCACAAACTGTTGTGTCGTGGTGTTTTGCCCCGTTAAAACGCGTTACTTGTAGGTTATTAATTGTTTCTAAAGTTACAACTATGACTTCATCTCAATCCACGTAAGACAAGTAGCTCCTACCGCTGCGCCTCAGCGCTGAGCATTTGAACAATATATTATGCTGCCTGCCAAAGAGCGACAACAGTTATTACGGAAATGCACCGGTATGACTATATGAGAAATGGGAATTTGAAACCAGAATACATCTACATGAAGAGATCAGGGGAATGTTTGGATCACTAGCAACACTGCAATAAGGGATATTCTGAAAGAGTCACTCATCGTTGTACTTCACCTTTTTCTATCGTTGTACACTTTATTTAAGCAAGAGATAGTTACTAAAATGAGTTTCAGTTTCCCGCTGCAAAATCAAAAAATAAGTGCTAAACCAGTTTTGTGCGCCTATGTATTGTTGCAGTAGATTTGTCATGGCTAACTGCACCAAACAGCAGACTACTAGCTGCTGACCACAGAGAGCAAGGAGATCGATGGCAGAGAGCTTTAAAATCTTTCGCTACGGGCTTACATCACGATGACAAAATGTCCATAAAAGAGTTCTGTATAAACCCTGCGTCCACTGGAGGAGAACTGTTTTCATAAGAGCTGTGGAAATGCTCTCCCTGCTCTTTTCCTGACGCTCACATTTCATTTCTGGACCAATGACGCACCAACAGGACCGTTTTGTTTCCACTTAAGTGGCAATTTCAATTTATGATTTCTGCTGCGTCCACGGGTTATTTAATTTTAGGCACCAGCTTCCCACCCATCCGTCACACCCACACTGTCCATGGAGATGTGATCAATTCAGGCCCGGGGGCACAGTGCAGCGCCACGTTCATGGATTGCGTTGAGTCATCTGTGGGTGTGGGTGGAGGGTGGAGGTGGTACCAGTGAGGAGAACAAAATGATAATAGGATCATTGATGAGGTGTCAGACCTTCCAATAACGTGTAACCACTGTCTAATTAATGGCTATTGACATCTACATCAAGTGGAGCAGGAATTAAAGGACAGGTCTATCTCAGAGGATAAACTGCAGATGTTATGTCAACAAAATATTCCTCTCCTAAATGACCATATGAAGATGATGCATTGCAGTTAAACAGTCTGGCACCCCAACCCCCACCCCCCCACCCCCCCCTTATGCTGAATGTGGGATGATGCTGTCTGCCTGCCAGAATTTCAGAAACAATTGATTTCCTTTGGCACAGCCCTGTG